ACCACCCCTCCAGTCAGGCTCTCCCTCCATCACCTGACTGCCTCAGGGCTTTCTGGGTCCCCTTAGGGCTACAGGTCCGTGGTGATGGGACACAGGATTGGGGAGTTCTCATGTATCAACCTTGGGATAAACAGGTCTACAGTCTTTTTAGGCCAGGTGCAGTGGCTCATGCCTGTAATCCCAGCACTTGAGAAGACCAAGGGAGGATTGCTTGAGCCCAGGAATTTGAGACCAGCCTGGGCAACATAGTAAAAAAAAAAAAAAAAAAAAAAAAAAAAATTAGCTGGGCACAGTGGTTCACACCTGTAGTCCCAGCTACTTGGGAGGCTGAGGTGGGAGGATCGTGTGAACTCGGGATGTTGTGGCTACAATAAGCTGCGATCACGCCACTGCACTCCGGCCTGGGCAACAGAGATCCCGTCTCAAAATAATAATAATAAAATCTTTATAGACCCAAGGGTCTAGCACTCGAAGGAGGGCATATCTGGCCTGTGGCTAGTGAGAAAGAGTTTGAGGCTCTCCGCTAACCACAGCAAGCCAGTACTGTGACTGCCCTCACAGGGTCAGGGACAGGAGCTACCTGGTTGGCGTGATAGGCACTGAGCCAGCGCTCGATGTGGGTGGCGTACCAGCCGGGGACCAGGCAGCGGTTCTGAAGGGCACGCAGCTTCGAAGACGCATCGGAGCCAGCTGTAATCACCTCATGGAAGGTATACTTTAGGGCCACCGGGTCATCGTGGGCTCGCTGGTGCTGCAGACAAAGAAAGAAGGTCAGTATGCCACACGGAAGGCACAAAGGAAGTAGCCTTAGAGCGACAGCAGCCTGCGAGGCGGCCAGAAGATCCTCAGCTGGACCCAGGAGCTGTGGGTCTGAGTCCTGGCTCTGCCTCTCACCATGTCCAGTGTCAGGGGAAGCCACTGCTCCCAGAGCCCCAACTTCTCCATCTTCGAAATACGGGAGCTGGACTAAAGCAGGATTTCCTGAGGCCGGGCGCAGTGACTCAAGCCTGTAATCTCAGAACTTTGGGAGGCTGAGGGGGGTGGCTCACTTGAGGTCAGGAGTTCAAGACCAGCCTGGCCAACATGGCGAAACCCTGTCCGTACTAAAAATACAAAAATTAGCCAGCATGGCAGTGTGCACCTGTGCTCCCAGCTACTCAGGAGGCTGAGGCATGAGAATCGCTTGAACCAAGGAGGCAGAGGTTGCAATGAGCTGAGATCGCACCACTGCACTGTTGTCATATATAGAAGGCAACCACTCATAAATGCAATGAAAACAAAGCAAAGTTCTGAAACTCCAGCCACACACATATGGCTGCAACAGGCCCTGAACATGCCCTCTGTGTTGAAAGCAGAGGTTGGCAGTGTTAGAAAGGCCGTAAGGGCCACTTGCACTAAAGTGAGCGTTTCTCCTTTATGGAAATCAGAAGGATTGGGAAAGAGCTATAAAAGGGAGACTGGCAGGTCTGAACCACCTAAAGTAATACCATGGGAGGTTGGCCTCTGCACAGTTCACTAAGAACAGAAGTCCAGAACTCGGGCACCTGCACAACAGGCACTACCCCCCAGTTGCCAACCCCTCCCCTGAGATCACACACAGCCCAGGGCCAGGACGATAATGGTGCACAGCAGCCTCCTCCTCATCCAGACCTCCTTCTGAGACAGGCCACCAAGCTTCCTCTCCTCCAGCACCTTCCTGCTCCTCCTGGGGGGAATGAGCCTTCCTTCTCCTTCTCTCCCTTACCCCTCTTGACCATGGACAGAAAAAGGAATAGGGTCTTAGATTTACCAGACTTGGATTCAAATGCCACCATGTGAAACTTACTGAAACTTGGTTTTCTCATCTTTGAGAAGGGGACACAAACATCAAACCCCTCCGCTGCCTTCTAGAAACCCGCCATGACTCTCCAGGGAGGTGGCAGATGTAGAGCAGTGTCAGTGCAGAACAGGGACTGACCCAACCTGTGGCAGCTCCCTCTCTACCCTACGTTCCCCCAGGAAAGCAGATTGCCAGTTCCCTGCACAGCGCCAGGAGGCAGGGGCACACGGCACAGCAGAAAAGAGAAATACCCAATGAGTGTTTCTTGGTTTTCTTCTCCTAAAGAAAAAGCCCATGAGAAAGCAGACATCAGGGCATAAAGAGAAGCCCTAGAGAACAAGAGTGAGAGGGCTTCCCCACAGGCTCAGGGAGGGGCAGGAGGAGAGACTTCCATGTGAGCAAAGAGGAGGCAGGTGCCAGCCCTGCGGAGGAGACCGAGAGGGCCCAGGCGGGAGGCAGCCACTGTCACACCTGAGAAAGAGGCTCAAAGTGAGGTGGGAAATAGCACAGGCCAGTGGCCAGGCCTGAAGAGGCTGTCCCAGGCAGGACAGGGGACACCTCCCTGGCAACACCTCCCTTAGCCCAGGGCCCCACTCCCTCCCCAACACCAACCACAGACCTGGTCTGCTGGGTTAATGAGGATACTCGGGACCTCAGCCTGGACAGCAGGGTGGCTTTCCGCTGGGGTGCCACTTCTGAATCAAAGTGCTTGGCAGTGTGGCACAATCCCAGGAATGCTGGCAGCCAGGGGAGGGACTCCCCCTGCCCTGCCATGGAAGGCCTGAAAGCATTCCTGCAGGCTCAGTGGGCTGGCGTGCAGGAAATTAAGTCAGGCCATAGGCATTGAAGAGAGTTCTGGTTCACACATGCCCCAGATAGGGGCTCGGATCCACACCCTCTCCACATATCACAGTCCAGGTAACTGCGTCACCTGGTCAGGAGCCCGCCTTCTCCACTGTGAATGGCAGTCCTGAGTCTTGTCCTTCCATAAGCTCCCACTCTCACCCCAGTGTCCAGCGAGGAAGCTACAGTCAGTATGATCCTGAGTTGCTATTCACCAAATCTAAGCTTCCTCAAGGTATAACCAGTCTCCACCTCTTGTCAATGTCAGAATCAGAGGCAGGACTCTGCATGACACTAGGAGGACTGGCAGCTGGCTTTCCATTTCTGCCTGACTCCTCTACCAGGGACTCTATTCTCAGCTACCACCATGCTCCAGGTGCCTGGCTGAGGGCTGGCACACAGTAGGTACTTACTAATATGTGTTGAGGGAGTGAGAAACTGAGTATCCGACGGAGCCCTGTGCCCCCCCACACAGGGACCCCACCCCAGCCCCACTTACCTGGTACCAGGAATAGGCCCGGTCTGCGGGGTTGATGAGGATGGTCAGGACCTTGGCTTTGGGCAAGAGGGCTGCTGCCCGCCGGGGCGCCACTTCTGAATCAAAGTAGTTGGCGCTTTTCTCAAAGTAGAAGTCGGAGGTGGTGTTGGAGGGGATGGGGAAGAACTCCATGTACCTGCAGGAAGCCCAGAGAGGGACCTCACAGATAAAATTCTTGAGGAGGGAGCCAGGGAACATGGCTGGTGGGTGAGGCGCTGGGATAGAACTTCCTCGGAGAGCAGGCGGGAGACTTTGCTCCCAGCCAAACAAAGACGCCTCCAGTGGGGATTCTGGAGGGAAATGGTCTCTCGGCAGCCTCCTGGTTTCAAATTCCCTCCTTTTCGAGGAGACTCTGGGGTCAGGAGGATCAGAAGACTTGTGGGTTCGCCGTCGGTTGCAGGTCATGGGGAGCGGGTAATGCCCCTCAATCCTAAACTCTGGGATCCCGCCCCCTCGGCCGCTCCAGGCTAAACTGCCAGAGCTGTCACTCTCTCTGCCTCTAGGGGGCGAGCTGGGGCTCAGGGCGGCTCCAGAGCTGCCCCAGGGAGGCTGGCACAGAGAGAGGAGGCCTCCAGAGGGCGGGCTTTCTTTCCTGACCTAGGGAACACCTTCTGGGCTGTCACTGTGGACCAGGACCTCCTGCCAAACCACATCTCCTCCCAGCCTGCTGTGGGTGAGCAGGGCTTTCCAGACTAATGCCCATATCCTACCAGAGCGATGGCCACCTCGGATGAAGAACCTCTGGAAGCCAAATGAATGCTCCAGGGTCTGACTTCTGAGTCTTGTGGGAAGCAAAGCCCACCCTCATGAAAGGTACAGGGTCCCTATCCTATCCAGCAAGGTGGGGCTTCTCTAGGGTTGTCCCAGGGATGGGACCGTTCTGGGGGCCTGTCAGATTCCTGTAGCTCACTTTACACCAACCTACAAAATCAAACTCTTGGGGATCGGGCCAAGGAATCACACTTTCTCTCATCTTGCTGAATTTTCTTTGCTTGTCCACAATCCTTTGTTTACAATATATCTCAAACGAGAAAGCTCTGAAAACACAGGCTTTGCTTCCTAAGTTTGCAGCAAAGCCATTTGGCAACAAAACCTGCCTTATTCCTCTTTCTTTGTGTAAATATTCACATACTTTGCTAGAGACGTATTAATGAATTTGCTAACAGGTTGCTGCCCCAGGCATCACTGAAGATGTTACTAAATATGTGGTTTCACACCTTATTACCTTTCTAAAATCTGAAAATGTTGACTTCCAATAATCCATCTAGCCACAGTAGATTTTAGATAAGACACTGTGGACATGTTAGAAATGTAGGTAGATGGGGCTGGGCCCAGTGGCTCACGCCCGTAGTCCCAGCACTTTGGGAGGCCGAAGCTGGAGGATCACGAGGTCGAGATCAAGACCATCCTGGCCAACATGGTGACACTCCGTCTCTACTAAAAATACAAAAATTAGCTGGGCGCGGTGGCTTGTGCCTGTAGTCCCCGCTACTTAGGAGGCTAAGGCAGGAAAATCACTTGAACCTGGGAGCTTGCAGTGAGCTGAGATCACACCACTGTACTCCAGCCTGGTGAGAGTGAGACTCCATCTCAAAAAAAAAAAAAAAAAATATGTAGGTAGCTGGATGGATGGAAAGACAGATACAGAGGCAGACAGAGTGATGACACACAGATAAAAAAGATAAATACGCACAGAAAAATACCAAAAACAGACAGAAGGCCCATAACCTCTCCACCCAGGGAACAGGCTGACATAAAAATAATAAATAACGGTAACACGTGAACAAGGTTTAAAAAGGCAAACTTGCCATCCATGCACGGGATGACTGGGTGTTCACACCCGTGTGTGAGGTGCGCCCACTTCACACTTTGTTATGATGTCAGCACATTATCTGCCTGACATGAAAATTTTAAAAGGAAAAGAAAAAAAAAAGGCAAATAGAGAAAGATGCAAACTGAAAAGCTGGAGAGTAAAACTGTCTCTGTTCTGGCCCCCACACCCTTAAAGGGACCCTCTGCTGGGAACTTCTATAGAGGTAACTTATGCAGGCTCTGGTGGGAAGCAGCAGTCCTAATGACTTCCCCAAGTGATGCCCAAAGACTGGCAACCTGTCCCCAAAGGGCCCACAAGAACACCTTCTGCTTCAGTCAGCCACACGCAGTGAGGAGGGCCAGAACATTTGCATTTCAGACCTTGGGAACCTGGGCAAATCCTTCTCCTCCCCAGGACTCAGGATGTCTCCCTGCAAGCAAGGGCGGGGTGGACCTCAGCTTCAGCATCTCTGACTGCAGGCAGCAGAGCAAAGGGGCAAAGGGCTTCCTCATCGAGTGTCCTGTCTATGACAACACTGTCGCACCATGACTCAAGGGTCACCGCACTTTGTCCCTGTTTACAGGAACTTCAGCTGCGTGTGAGCAAGCTCCAGCTGCTTCCTGCTGTGGCCACAGCAGACTTGTGGGAGGCCCCAGGATGGCCTTCCCGTCCTGCTGTGGACAGAAAGGCCAACTCACCAGTCGATGCCTTTGTGATAGTTGTGGCCATTAAAAAACTGGATCTCCTCAAAGGTCTCAGAGCTGGGATAGTTGCTGCTTAGGTCCGGGTGCATGCCCAGGAACAGGTAGAGGGCAGTGGTGCCTGTCGGGACGAGAGACAGCTGAGACCCAGGGCCCAGCACCCAGCCAAGAGATAGAGTCTGGGTTCTGAGCCTAGCTCCCCATTACCCACGGTGGGGATACTGGAGGTCTCTGCCTTTCTCTGGGTCTTAGCTTCTTTATCTGTCCAATGAAGGAATTACTAAATCCAGGGTGGCAAATATGTGGCATGCATGTGGACACTGCAGCTCCCGTATCTACTGCAGACATCACTAATCCATCACAGCATTCTTCACTAAACAAGGACTTGGCCTCAGAATCCTTCTCACCACCGTACTCTGGCAGCCTCAGCATCCTGGAAGAGCTGGTCCTTTCCAGCTCTGGGCCTCTGTCCTCTGGGCACTTGCTAGGAGCTCAGGGAATAGGGAGTCTGTGGCCCTCTAGTTCTGTTAATGTGAAATTCTTAAAGAACTAAGAAATCTAGTTCCCACGTCTCCTCCTCCCAACACCATCTCCTCACTGCACCCTGCCCTACTTCCTCCTCAGGGAGTTCCTTCACTTTCTGTGGTATGAATCTACGGTTTACATGCTATTAGACAGCTCAGAAGAGAAGGAGGCTGTAGAGTTTGGCAATTAAGAGTATATTTTTCGGGGCCACAGAGACCAGAGTTCAGGACCTGGAACTGCCATTACCTAACTGAATGTGTTAAGGGAAGTCACTTGACTTGTATGAACCTTGAGTTTCTGTCTATAAAATGGGAGTGCCCATCTGTGCCTTGCAGGGTTGTATGGGTGACAGATGCTTAGCAATCATGTCACTGATTCTCCTCCTGCACCTCTGGCAGACATGGCTAATTGATCACAGTCCTCTTTGTACCAGTTTTGCTTGGCACTACTCAAACTTGCAAAGCAACTGATCTGGGCTTCTCTGCCTAGACTTGGAGACTCCCAGGAGGATGTAGGGAGAGCTCCCTGAGGCTATGTGTGGTTCAGGATAAATAGAATTCCAGACCCCACCTTTCCCTTCTATACTGACAGGCAATTTGTGTTCACCCCAACTTCGCTCCTACTTCCTGGGAAAGAGGGAGCAAATTATCAGGGAGTGGGGCCAGAGTGAGGCAGTCCTCAGAATTCTGTGGCTGAGACAGCAGGTAGTTGGGGAAGCTGGGTCACGAGCAGAGAGACCTGCCTGTTTTCTGGGGGCCGATGATGAGGAGTTTTGGGAAGCGGTCACATGTCTTCTCCTTGGACCAGATGTCTTTGTGACGTTTGTCCTCGCAGGGGTCCTAAAACAACAGTGGAAGGGATGTGTGGGGCACCCCAGAGCCCAGTCAGCAGATTCCCACTGCACATGGATCTGTGGCCCTTACAGCTCATGTCACATTCCCACTCCCAGACACTGAGCCCCTGACAGGCAGTCTCCACTTGTGCTTAGTTTCATGTCCCCCAAAGAGCCTGGCAAAAGGCCCAGCCCCATGCTTAGCACATAACAGGAACTCCTAAGGACTTGTTGAATTTAACTGGACAACCTGCGTCTGAACCAGGGGGTCAAGAAATGTTTCCTGTAAAGTTTAGTAAATCTTTTGGTAAATATTTGGTAAATATTTTAGGCTTTGGGAATGAAAGCTTCCATTGCAACTACTTGACTCTGCTGTCACAGCATGAACAGAGCTACAGACAGTACATACAAGAGCGAGCTTGGCTGTGTGCCAATAAAACTTTCTTTACAAAAACAGGTCTCAGGCTGGATTTGGCCCATGAGTCATGGTTTGTGGACTCCTAGTCTGAACTATGAGACTGCCACCAATTCCAGCTTCTACTTCTACTTTTTAACAGCCCCAAGGAGCAGACTTTCCCAAAAACCGGCCCCCAATCCCTCCCATCAGTCCCTTTTCCTGCTCAGAGCCTGCTGGAGTTGGAAGAGACACAAGAGATTATCTAAGAGTCTGTCTAAGACAGGGCAGTTACTTTCTATACTTTGTCTGCCCAGTGTTCACTTGGAGTTTTTTGTTGCTTTTTGTTTTTGAGGCAGGGTCTCACCCTGTTGCCCAGGCTGGAGTACAGTGGTATGATCACAGCTCACCGCAGCCCCAACCTCCAGGCTCAGCTGATCCTCCCATGTCAGCTTCCCAAGTCCCTGGGACCTACAGATGGATGCCATCATGCCTGGCTACTTTTTGTACTTTTTGTAAGATGGGATTTTGTCATATTGCCCAGGCTGATCTTGAACTCCTGGGTTCACGCAATCTGCCCACCTTGGCCTCCCAAAGTGTCAGGATTCCAGGCGTGAGCCACTGTGTCCAGCCCACTCAGTTTTTTAACACTGTTTTTCCTTTCCAAGGCTATGTATGACTGTGCATGCATGTAGGTCTGCATGGGGAGGTATGCACATGTATGAACGTGCATGTGTGTGTGCACAGGAGTGAATGCACCCACCCTGGTGAGCAGAGGGGCACCTGAGTTTACATGCGAGTGAGACTGTGAGGGCATGAGGGCTCAGCCTCGAGTCCATGTCTGGAGCGTGCACCTGTGAGATGTACCATTCCATCCCTGCAGCAAGGTACCCAGCCCCCCACCTGCCAGAGTGGATCCTTCTCCTCGGAGAAGATCTGGAAGTACTTCTGGGCCAGCTGCACAGGGGGCAGTGTCTGCAGCCGGAGGTTGGTCCAGGAGTGCAGGAAGCGCACCAGGTGCTTGAAGGTGTACAGGCCCAGGCGGTCATTCCCATAGTTGGATAGGTGCGTCATGAAGATGCTGATCTGCTCCAGGGGAGGGGAGGAGAGAGGCAGGGCCCATCAGCGTCTGAGCCACCCTCAGCCCTAACTTTGACCCTTCTGACCCTGCCTCAGCTTGCAAGGCCCCCGATGATGACTGGAAGGCATGCTGGGCTGTCAACAGACTTGCTGCATGTACTTGGATGAGGCAACAGACAAAAACTCAGGTCTGACTGGCCCCAAATACTTGCGTTTTGTTTTGTAAATGTGAGGGGTGTAGTGTATGGAAGATAGAGTACTCAGCCCACAGAGCTGAATAACAACCACCATTGGATGTTTATTAAATATGATCAGAGTAGGGATAATTGTTTGCATTCTACAAATAAGAAAATCGAGACCTAGAAAACTGAAATGCAGTTTATATACGTGTGTGTATGTGTCTATACGCACAGGAGCAAAGGCCGAAGGTAACATCCCTAAAAGTGCCAACACTTCTGTATTAAAGTGCATGATTAGGAAAGGAAAAAAAAAAACACGCTCGGATTCTTTAGCCAAGGTGACACAACAGAGGCAGGACAGGGCCAGCGCGGGAGAGTGGGTCTCCCAACTGCCAGGCACTCACTCATGCCTCCCCGCCCTTTCCTGGCTCCAAGAATCCTGTGTCAGCTGTAGACGGGCTGCCCAGCAGCCCCTTCTCACCAGCAGCCATGGGCTGTGGAGCACTCACAGGATTGAGGAGCACGGTGAGGAAGAGCTCGCCCCCGTTGATGATCTTGTCCAGCTCGCTGGAGCCGCCAGGGTACTCATTGTAGAAGATGGTGTGTGTGAAGAGGCCACAGGTCTGCCGCGGGAGAACCTGAGGAGGGGGCAGGGGAGAGGAGATATGGTGCCTCCTGGGATGAGGGTGGTGGGAGGACTCTTCCTCAGAAGAAGGGCCAGCTGCTCCTCCTCAAGGCAATCTCCCATGTGGCCACACAGCCCCCACCCTTGGGTGCAGCCTGCAGCACAGCATGCCCCACAGTGACCCACCGGCCCTTGCCATTTTACAAACTTCACTGCTACTCTCTGCACAAAATGAGCAGGGCTAAAAGTAACAGAGCGGAAATGTTTCTGGAAACTTGGACTGCTGCAGCCACGCTCCCTGCCTGGCCCTCTCTGAAGCAGTTCTCCAAGCCCTCTGCAAGCCCCCTCATGACGTTCGAGCCTCACCTGGTGACACTCATTGTCACACACTGGCTTAGCCATTTGTCGTCTGTCTCCCCTCACAAAACTGTGGGCTCCACGGGAGCAGGGAACGTGCCTGCCTTGTCACCACCTCATCCCTGGAGCTCAGGGTTGAGGAGCTGAACGAGTGCCTGGAGTTCAGCACAAGGGCCTGGTGCTGAGGTCAGCGGGTGGACAGATGGGTGGACTGATGGACAAACACACGAACCTTGCCTACCCACGGCTGCCCCAGCTCAACCAATGACAAGTCATCCTTCCAGCACTCAGGCTAAAAACCCTGCCGTCATCTTTGGGTCCTCTCTTCCTCCCACCCCTGCACCCAGCTCATCTAACCACTGGCCTAACTACTCTAAGCCCAGAGTGTGGCCACGT